TATTCTATTAATAAATTTAATTTATATATAATTTAATTAAATATATGCGCAATTAATCTAATAACAAGATAGATTAAAAAGCAAAACTTTTGCACATGCAAGTAGTGTTTTGTAGATGCTCAAGGTTCACCTACTTTACGATGACCTGCGATCAAATATTTAACGAACTTCCTTGACAAGACTGCTATTCTGAAACAGAACGTAGGGCGAAATAACTTATCGTATCGGGCATTACGAATTTATAAAGCGACGATGCCTTGTAACAAATTGCGAATTCTTGTTCCGTCACAGAGTTATAGCAACTCGCTATTTGTGATAAACTGCTCTAATCAATGGGTATTTAACAGTGAAAGTATTTAAGTAATTCCGAGTTAGCTAGTCATGGCCATTATGAAAGACTAAAGACAAATAGAGTGTTTATCGAACAGCAAAGCGTCCCCCGATGTTAATCTTTTACAAAAAAAGAAGAGACTCTGCGCTTCTCTTTCATAAATATTATATAATTGTAAAAAATAATTTTGCCTCTGTAATGTATTATAGTTATATTAATTATTATCTATAAAATAAAACAAATTTTAAAGAATATATTAAATTTTATATTTTCAAGATTATAAAAAATTATACAATTATTATTTATAAAGTTATAAAGAAATTAAAATTTCTATCTTATCATAAAAACATATTATCATATAAAAAATATTATTAAAAATAATAAAATTGAATATGTAACGAGAGGAAATAGTGTGTTTTAAAACTATGTTCTGTTACACCATCGTGAAGTATTTGTTTGAGAAGAAATTTTTCTCGGAGCAAATAATAAATGAGGTGGATATAGATATGGCGATTGAAACTACGCGTAGACCAGCGAAATGTTTTCTAAAATTGGAACTGAAGGAGAAAGATATTTCGGTCGTAAAAACGAACCGTAAAGTCAAGTTTAAATTTTTCTCCATCGAGGATACGAGATCGCTAGGAGGTCACCGAGGATTTCGTATTGCTCCCTCCCAAGCATCTTTCTTTCTTTCTTTCTTCCACCTTAAAGTTACGAGAATTTCCACTTCTCAATTATCCCTAAGTGTCATCTACATTTCTGAGGTCGGACCACTCGGTCGGAAGACTCATCTGCATTTTGACTTAGTTACATAACACGCTTCTTTGCCGCTTCACCGCCACGGCCGGTGTGTCGTGAATTTACATTGCTTGCAAAAACAAAATATACATCAGAGTCAGACGGCGTGTTCTATCGTCGCGTAACTCAGAATAATTTCTCGACTCTCTTACTCTTTCAACGAGGGAGAAAATCAATGGAAAGTGTATACGTTTGATCATTTAAACAGCTCGCGCATTCAGCGCGACCAAAGTGACTGCTACTGTAATGGTCTCATTTGCCTAATATCTGAAGATTGCGTTCTATGTAAATATGATTGAAACTCAACCATAGAAAAATTGCAAATTTATTTCTGCTTCATTTCTGAGAGAAATTATTGTATTTTTTTCTTTTTTAAGATAATTTAAGAGATACGCGCTTTTTTCAAAGAATGATTTTTGCGTGTGAATTGGTTTCAATATTCTGTACAAAGTATGTGTTGGTACGGTATCTTTTGTGCGAAATTCTACAGAGAAGTTCCTCTTTGGAAAGATTCTCGCAAGTATAGAAATATCTTGCGCGCGAAGAACATTCCACAAATGGCGTGAAGAATGATTCAATACTTATCATGCATCCGCGCGCGGGCTTTCTTTCACGCAAAGATGCATCGAGCGAAGTGCGTTAAGGTACCGTGAACAAAATTGAAAGCCTTTATCTCCGAATATAACCAATATAATATATCTGTCAGGAAATTTAACATCGTTTGCAAGAAATATTATTTCAGCTGACATCAAATTTCAGTGTGAATTACAAGGAATAAATAGTATTTCGAAAATTTCACAAGAAAGAGAAAGATAAATTATATTTAGAAGCAAATATTATTAGAAATAAATATTATTTGTATCCTTTTGAAGATATATATACAAAAAAATACAAAAACTTATGTTTCCTCTTCTTTTTCTAATTGAAAAAATTTAATTGGTATTTTTAAAACACATTTAGTCGATTTTGTGATAATTGTACAATTTTGGAATACGATGAAAGATATCTTACTCTGATATATCTAGTTTTGTGTGGTTTCATCATTAATTGCATCTCTTTCTCTCTCTCTCTCTATCTCTCTAAATATATAATTATATTATTATTTATCTATATCAGTAATTATACACTATCATATTATCAATAATTATGTTAAATAATATCAATTTTATACAAAATTTGATTCCCATTACATCATACTTAGTTCTAGTCATTGTTCTAAAAATCAATTCTAAAATTTCGTAAAAAAGTTCGCGCAACAGAAATTACGTTTTTTTCTGTAAAAGAATACAGAGAGAGAGAGAGAGAGAGAGAGAAAACTTTCTCATAATTTTTTTTATAAAAATCCATTAACGTGTGGTCTGTATGCTATATATGCTCAATGATGTCCATTATATGCACCTTGACAAAAGTCCATTGTGCGTGAACGTACGCATTTTTCTATTGACATAACACTTGTACACGTTATGTCCACATCAGTGGAACACCGACGAATGAGTCAGACAGCGATATATAAAGTCGGCGGCGTGCCTTTGATAGGCTTCATCTACTGAAACCCTCGTCGACAAAAAAAAAATCATCAGTTTTGAATCGGATTATATCCGATCCAAAACTGATATGTGCTATTATAATAATGTGTTACGCACGCGAAGTCACAAAATTATTAATAAAAACTTTATTATACTATGGTTAAAAAAAGATTATTTTACTGAGTTCTTTTTAATTATAAATATAATTAGTTAAACATAAATAAATATCTCTTTTCGCACGCAGATAATAAATACTGGTTTTTTTTTAAATAATTCAATTTTAATAATTTCAAATAATGTAATCTTCTAAATCATCTGACTCAAAAATTATCAATAAAAAATTATTCAGAAATATTTATCATCTGCATGGAGTTATAACTCTCAACTCAATGTATAAGGCGACAAAAATAATATTTTCTAAAAGTACAGCTCGCATGCCGAAAATTACACACAGTTGACACTAGAATATTCTTTCTTCCCTTTTTATTGCCGATATAAGTAACATTTGCCGGATTTTTCTGTTACAGTGCAGCGGACATGCGGTCCGATGCTTCGCCGGCGGGCCGCGCAGGAGCAACGAGTCGCAATGTCCGATGCTGCAAAGAATCGAGAAGCCGGTGCTATCGACGGCGACGACGCCGTCGATGACGTCGTCGACGACAAAGCAGATGACAACGACGACGACGCTCGTGCGCAATCATCTGAACAGCACGTGTAGCGTCACCAACTCGCCGCACCAGAAGAAGCTGCGCTTTCATCTGGCGAAGGAGCGAAAAGCCAGCACCACCCTTGGCATCATCATGGGTGCGTTCGTCGGCTGCTGGCTGCCATTTTTCGTGCTGGCGCTGGTCAGACCGTTCCTCGAGGACCCGGACGCCATTCCGGCCTTTCTCTCGGGTCTTTTCCTCTGGCTCGGCTATTGCAATAGCCTGCTAAACCCGATCATCTACGCGATCCTTAACAAGGACTTCCGCAAGCCGTTCCGCGAGATACTTTTCTTCCGCTGCAACAATCTCAATCATATGATGCGCGAGGAGTTTTACCAGAGCCAGTATGGCGATCCAGTTAATAACTACGAGATCAAAGCTGGCTGCAGCGGCGGCGGTGGCGGTGCGGAGAGCGCCGAGAGCGCGGAACACTACGAGGACGGTAATCAGGACATCGTCGAGTCGATGGACGTCACCGGCGCGCCCGACGAGAGCTTCCTATGATCCGAGGAGCGTTCCTCGTCGTTCATCGAGGACCGTAATATCCGACGGAGACCGCCGTCCTGCTGTATCGAGCCCCTCCACATCGCCGTCGATCTCACCAACGGCACACAAAACGAGATCCTTTTATGATCGATCACGATCGATGAGGATCGCGAGGACGATGCCGCGCGTCATCGTCATCGCCATTGTCATCGTCCTGAGAGGGTGACGGGACGGTTTTCATTCCGCGACCGCGTGACGAGCGCGTCGCGCAGGGATATCTCTCGAGAGATCCTCCTGTGATCAGATCAACAGCGCTGGACCGCCTGTGTGATCTTAACGCCGTTATAAGAGATCGGCCGAGAAAGAAAGAGAGAAATAAATAGATAGCTACTGCGCGATTATAGTTGTGTCGATAAATTCAAAATCTCACGTAAGAACTCTGTCTGTGTGTGACTCGAAGTCGAGGAGCGATTTTCGATCGCGAGAAAAATATTTTCAATAATTTCATTGATTTAACTCAAATTTATTCACACCAAAGGTAATTGAAGGGCTTATTTTCATATGGTCTTAATTTCATATTTTTTAAACACTGAGAATATATGATGTGTGTTATAAAGCTATGAAAATTCATACAAATTCATAAATATATTTAATAAAACACACACACACACATGTATATATATATATATATATATATATATATATATATATATATATATATATATATATATATATATATATATATATATATATATATATATATATATATATATATATATATATATATATATATATATATATATATATATATATATATATATATATATATATATATATATATATATATATATATATATATATATATATATATATATATATATAATATATATACATTTATTTATTTATAAAATATTATTATTATATAAAAACGAAGAATTTAGATGTGATTTCCGAATAAGCTCTTCAATAAAGAAACATAAATAATCATCTGTGAATTAAACAATCGGATGAAGAAAAAAAGTGTAAAAAGCTTTTATTATTATTAAGTACACTTTAGAAGATTTAGAATTCGCGACAGAATCGGGAGGTACAACTTTATGCGTGCCGTATATTATGATATGTTTTTTTTAAATACATAATGTATGTATTCAGATTCTTCAAACGTTTTCTGAATTATATATATTTCTGTTGCGAATTACAGAGATCGCTCAAAGTGCGCTTTATACGTGATTCTAGTTGAAATTATAATCATGACGTACACACATGATAAATTCAAAGAGAAAAATAATGATTATAAAACGAAATCTCCCGCTTTTTGATTTCTTGAATCGCAAGTGATTATGACATAACGTGCAGCTGTTCGACAGAATCGAAATCCGTTATTCTAACATTGGCGTGAGGCAAAAAGATCGTTAAGGTCGAGCAAGCACAAACTCTGCGAACATATGGCGCGCAATAAAACATGACAATTAATTGTTACGAGAAATTGTAATTATATCTCGGAAAAAAGTAAAAGAGATTGACGCGCGATAACTAGAAATTATCGTCAAGAACGCATTTTCTCGCACAATATAAAGGTTTATGCAATAAAGATTTATGATGCGGAAATCGCGGTTGCGACGAATGCGAATCGTCAGCTGTAATAATCCCATATAAATTCTAGTAACAAATCGATGTTAAATGTCAAACAATAAGAATTTTATTTGAGTCGTTCTGATTATTTATTTATTTATTTATTTGCCAATTGAACGGAGCAATCCCATTTTATAAAAGTAGAAATAATATAAAGATTACAATTATCATGATTTCTAGTCTATTTTTTCATCTCGTTTTCTCTTCAATTTCATAAATAAGGATTACAATAAAGGAGAGAATTATAATGATCACATGATACATAGTTTCTAATTTATTTTCGGTCTTGTTTTTTCCTTGATTAAGATAACTGACGATATGATTATCGGTTGCACTTATATTTATCAGCAAATATTGGACCAGCTAAATTAATGTACAGAAATGCTTTAAAAAACTATATAATTATATTATAACCGGTCAACCAAAAGGTAATTTTGAGAGCAAAGTCAACGATCCAATGAACCGAGGTAATTGATTGATTCGTATAAACATTGCGCGACTTGGATGCGGACAAACGATCGCGCAAACAATCGCGTCGTACTGGACAATCAAAGAAGAAAAGGGGAATGGGAGGAAAGAGGAAGGGACCTGTTCATACGAACTCGAATTTTATTCTCCACGAAGACGCCAACGACAGCGAGCGAGATTGAATTTTCTACATTGTCATCGTTGCTGACAATCGATAACCGAAGCTTCGGATTCCAGTATGGCCAGAGAGATAGATAGATAAAAAGAATAGAAGTAGGTAGAAAGAAGAAGAGAGAAACAGAGAGAGAGAGAGAGAGAGAGAAAGATTTGTGCTCTCTATGTACATTCGTCACGCCGTCGTTGTCCGACGAAATAAAAAAGTACCACAAAAGAAGTTGCATTAAAAGTTCGCATCGCGAAAAGATACGCTGCATTCTCCCAAGAAGTTCGCGATCGTTTAATACAATCAATTTAATCGCTGACTTGGAAAATACAATCAATTACTACTGGGTTACTGTATATAGTATCAAGTATCCAGAGGCTATCCAGACAAAGATCCTAATGTATTTCCTACTGATTGCTTTGTGGTATTCCGATTTCGGAAATGTACCTTCCGGCGTGCTACGCCGGAAATTAATAGAGTAATCGAGCGGCGCCAACAATCATAAATTGTTCATACTTGAATGATATATGAAAGTTAGATTGCATTCTTTCTGAATTTCCGCGATCTTTGCCAATTTCTCTATTTAATAAGAGCAATAACTATTGAAAAAAAATAAACCAACGGAACTTAATTACGTTATCGAAATGTTTTCCGGAATTATCCGCTCGCACAACACACGAGACCAATAAATTATTACGCCATTAATTTAAGTTTGACACACTAATCAAACAAAAATGAATTGAATGATGAAGAAATTAATATCTTATTTTAAAATAGATTTTGTATGCTTATCTTATTTCTCATTCTAAAACATAAATTATACCAAGCCATTGAAAAATTGCCCTATTATCACAAATATAATCATCTTCTTTATTTATTTATAAAAAGTGTATATGTTATAGCAACAGCCCGAAAAATCATAAATGTTTACAATAGTCCAAAAAAAAAAAAAAAAAAAAATTTGCATACCTAATTCTTCACAAACAATTTTATACGAAAAGAAAAACATTGCTAAAAAATAGTCTTATATATTCGTAACATTTATTATATAAAAATTAATTATGTTATATATTTTTTTTTTCTCTATAATATTTTCTCTATAATAAATATAATATAATAAAAATTATATAATTTTGCTAGAGAGAAATACGTTGCAGCGATATTTGTTTCTTTTCCATATAAGATTCCTAAAGTGTGCAAATATTTTTATTCATATATACATATATCATACATGCATATATTTTTTTTAACACTTGGAAGTTAACAAGTCATGTGGAAAATGAGAAAATCGGCACTCGATATTTTCATTCCAAACAATAGGACACTCTAAAAAGCCTAGTATGCTTGTGTGTTTACCTTATTTGGGGTAAAACCGATTCACGAGATGGTTCGCGGAAGAGGCAAAGGAGCTACAAGAAGAAAGGAGGAATGAAAGGGAGGGTAGATTCCTTTGAAAACATTGATCCAAGTTATGCGAAGCGACAAGATGCCGAACCGAGCACTCGAAATGCATTATATGTACTTCGGTACGAAATAGCTCGCATCGAAGTATATACGCCGCAACAAACGCGAGTGTCTACGCATGCATGCGTGCACGTGTATATATGTGCGTGTATGTATATATATGTGTGTGTACGTGTGTATCGATAGGTGGATAGCGCGGTGGCGGGTCTTGCGTGTAGGCAAGACGGCAGCAATGAAATTTGCAAGACATTACGAGTAGTTAGAGCTAGTTTGATTTTGATTGGGGTCGAATCAAGTCCTGAAATCCGACGCAAAATCTCGAGTCGAACGTCCCGGCTCGCGAGCAGTTGGCTCACGATAAATTCGAGACTCGCGTAATCACGATCGTGCGGCACGCGAGTGTTTTCTCGCGATAATCGCCACGCCAGATCGACATGGATAAGCCAAGGCCAATATCGAAATTGCACGGGCCGCAGAAGAGAACGGGGATGAGGAGGGGGGAGGGGGGGGGGTGATTTTTTTAGGGAGAATCGAAATAACCCGAGTGACACTATCCAAAATTTTACGCGATCGATCAAAGTTGGAATTGTTCACGATGTATCTGTCAAAGCGCGAAAGCTTTTCCTAACTCTCTCATTTTCAAATTGTCTTCGATAGATGCGTGTGTTGAGGAAGCCATTTAAACGTTTTGTCATTTAACATGCTGTCTGTCATGTGTATAATATTGATGTCAAATTTTAATACACACATTAATTAATGTTAAATTAATACACATGGCCTGACGCACGCAAAATTCTCTCTTTCTTTTTCTCTGTCTGCATTTCTAAGAATAATATTTCAACAATTTTTGTGATAACAATATAAAACAAAAAATATTAATGAAAAATCTATAACTGCATAGAAATATTTCTTATCGGCTTGGGATTGAATTTATCGCTTTAGACGTTGGCAGTCAATGTGTTAAATTTACCAAATTATCTTAGATATCTTTAATTTTTTGTTTTAAGATATATAATGCATCAGATTGTAAATTTATCGCGTTATCATTACTTCAAATTATTTAGAAAATGAGAAAATCGACTACTCTTCCGAGACTTAAAAAAGACACACATACACATAATATTTATAATGACTTGCGAAATTGGTTAAATGTTTTCAAAATTTCAAAAAAAATTATTAATTAGGTAATATTGTTATAAGAATTTATCTATAATTATATTAAATTTAATATATATTAATATTCTTTTGACAACATGCAACTTGCGGAAATTTCTTTTTATATGTTTATGCCACTTTAAAGAAAAATGTTATGAAATTTTCGAAATGTTTCATCAATTTCGCGAGTAAATGCATATAACGCGCCTATATGCTTGTATCTTTCTATACAGCAACGTTCTGCGTCGTACGTGAAATATAAATATAAATGATATAAGTATCTATATACATATATCGTGAAATACACTTGGTGCTAAAACAAATTTTTCCAACTCTAACGGCAATAGATATACGTAACGAGATAACTTTAATCATGTAAGCTACGTTTCAAACGTGATATATGCTACACATTCCATTGCTCATTAAACTACCGTCATTTGCAGTCGTGTGGAGGGGACCTATCACTAGCTAGACAATCCTAAATGTTTATTAAGCGACCTATTTGTATGTAAAGTAAATCAAAAATGTATTAAAGGATCAGAGAGAGAATATCAGAGAAGCTGTCAAATTATCATAATTTCGAAAATTTGTGTCGGTGGATCTCTTAATCTTTTTTGAATAAACAAAAATTATTTTTTTTGTTATGATAATATTTGATCTCATTTTTTTCCTAAGAATTAATTTTCTATAAACTCTAAAAATATATAAATTTTCATTAATTCTTTAATATAATCTAATTTTATATTTAAATGTAATTATAAAATCAGTCTTAATTAAAATCACAATCTGAA